TCTTGAATGACATTCTTGTTTAGTGTGTCCTTTTCTAGTACATTTACTACACCTCTCATTTTTCTTGCATTCTTTACTATGAGCACCTAATTTTGTAGTAGCAGTTTCTCCTAAAGTGTCCTCTTTTCACAATTCATGCACCTAATTTTGTCATAATCTCCACGATGAGCATTACATTCAACACACACAATTGATTTATTATGAGGTTTTTGCACCTTTTCTTTAGACTTCTTTTCCTTGTCTTCTAATCGCTCTATCTTGGTATTTGCTTCAAGAAGTTTAGTCCTAGAGTCTATTATCATTCTTTCCAGTTCCTTATTTCTAACTCTCATATCTTCTAGTTCTTCAAGAGGTCCATTATTCTTGAAGGTGATTTTGCATTTCTTCATATGCTTTAACTATACTACTACGAAGATTTGAGCCACAATCACTATCATAAGTTGGAAAGGATGAACATACCTCATCTTCATGTGATATTGACAAAGAGGATCCATCATCACGGTTGGCAAACGCCATATAGCTTTGTATTTCACATTCGTTATCTTCACTTTCATCTTCTGATCCACTCCAAACCACTACATAAGCCTTTTCTCTACTCCGTCCTTTGTTAGGACATTCAGCCCTTACATGATCACTCTTTCCACATTTGTAGCATTTTGGTGAAACTTGATCTTCACACTCACTTTCCACTTTATTTTTTTCTTTTGATTATCAAAAGATTTTACCTTACCATTTCTATTATTCTCATGAAAATAGAAAGAACTACCCCTTCCTTGTTTTCTTTCTAACTTTACAAACTTTTTGAAATTTTTGGAATGAGAGCAAATCCTTGATCAAAATCATCTCCTGATCCTTCATCATTTGTGACTTTCTTCTCGCAAGCCTTGAATGCTAAACTTTTATTTTTCTTGTCATTATTCTCATCACCTTGAGCTTTGAAGGCAATTTCATGACTAATTAGAGATCCTATCAAATTTTCAATACTAAGAGTAGATAGATTTTTAGCCTCTTCTATGGCAGTTTTCTTAGGCATCCATTCTTTGGGTAGACACCAAAGAATTTTCCTGACCAGTTCAGCATTATCATAAATTTTTTCTAACGCATTAAGTCTACTTACTATTAAGTTAAACCAAACATACATATCAGAAATAGACTCACCTGGGTGCATTTTGAACATTTGATATTCATGCACCAATTGATATATCCTGGATTCTTTTACCTCAGTTGTCCCTTCATGTGATACTTCCATGGTTTTCAAGATCTGATGTGCCGTCTGGCACCTGTTCACCTTATTAAATTCATCTAGACATATTGCACAATATAAGAAATTTGTTGCTTTAGCATCTAACTCCATCTTCTTTAGATCATCGTTAGACCATGTGTTGAGATCATCTTTGATATCACCCACACCATTCTCAACCACATTCCAAACGTCAAAACCCATCCCTTTAAAGAAAACAATCATACGTGTTTTCCAAAAGGAATAGCTGTATCCATCAAACCATGGTGGTCTAACATATGAAAGACCCTCCATATGAGTAGAATTAGAACCATGATTTGTAGATGACCCACTAGCCATGCTTGGTATATCGGATCTCAGTTTCCTCGCAGATCTTTCGATCTTTTTGAGGGAGCCGGGCTCTGATACCACTTGTTGGACCAAGCAAGGTCAATAATGGATAGTTTTGACGTGGTCAATGCACAAATTAATTCAGATTTCAATAGCAAGAGATTAGCACTAGCTTGATTGAGCAATCCAAAAGGACTTGCCAAGAATCTCTCCCGAAGTGATTAATTTGTTGGCATTGATGAAGAGAACAAAGTTAGAGAAGGTATAGAGAGAGAGATGAGTCGGGACACGCGATTTTAATGTGGTTCGGCCAATATGGCTTTACATCCACGTCCCGGAGATAGTTACCACTATCTCACGAGAGACTCAAACTTTTATTAAAATAAAAGACTCTCTAACCTATGAAATTGAAACAACCTTGACACTTCGTGTCAAGAACCAAATAGGTGCAACTCCACACCTATTCAACCTTTAGCTAAATCCAAGCTAAGCTACCCACTCAATCAATCAAGCCAACACTCTTAGTTTGACTTGATTGAAGAGTAATCCACCTAGTGCAACTCCCAAGCAGGAATCCCCTCTTACTCTTGCACTAGTCCCAATTACAAATACCCTTTCTACCATAAAACCCGACCTAGCTTGAATATCTCAACCCCCAAGATATCAAGCTATTCACACCACGAAATATGATCACACAATTTCGCTATTACAAGGGAGAAGAGAACTTTGCCAAAGGTGTCTTGGCCTACAAATGACTCTACTATTTATAGTGGATGTGAGCCTTCATTTCCTTTCATTTGTAGTCCTTTATGTGGCAAGTATCTCCTTGATTTGATACCCTTTTTGCTTGATATGGTAACTCCTTTGAGGGCAAGCAATCACTTTGAATTATTTCCTTTTTCATCATCATTGATTGTGATATTTCTGCATAGATTGTTAGTTCAACATAATAGCATATATTCAAAACAAAATATCCTATGATATTCAATTTGCTAAATCAAGCTTGTTGACTCAACATCATTTGCGAGTAGCATTAATCATTGGTTCATAAAGCAATGTTTAGAGCACCAAATTTTTTTTTGTAATGAGATAATGCAATTGAAATATTATTTTCTTGGTAGACTTTTCTTTATTAGAAGGCATTGAAACAAATTTCTTGGCATTGTTACCACCATGGTTTCTCAATCAAAATCTCACAAACACTCCACATAGTAAACTTGAATTGTTTGACTGGCCAGAACGAAGGGCTCATTCGTTCTAAACTTATGTTTTGTGTTGATAGTAATAGTAACATGCCTATCCTTCTTGTAACCAACACCTTCTCGAGTTGTGTCAAATACCGAACTACTGAATTAAAATGAATTTTATATCCTATTGTCATACGATTTGATTTACCGTCTATTGACGTACACCTTGAGAATGAAAAGTTTTTTGGTTAGTTGTACTCTGACCAATTGATTGCCTACGTAACCAAGTAGTCAGGATCAAAGTTCACGTAATTTGGTCAAATTGATAGAGTTTGAAGAGAGTTCTTTACACGTTCTATTGATATGTGATATAAAATTTCAGATGATAATTGATTTTCTTATTTGAGATATCACACAACTAAATTTCATAACCAAATTTATTGGCTACGATCCTTCCCATTTTTTGAAGCAACTAATAATTTTGGTCCGATAAATCTACTAAAATGGTCACTTAGTAACAAACATTTTTAAACCATATTAAATTCACGTCATAAAATATTTACTTTTTTCTAACAAATTTGTTATTAGTTATCAAAAGTCTATATTCTTCCGTTAGTGCATCAAAACCCTAAATGAAGGTGCTCTAGTCTCTTTAATGGGAACTAAAATAATGAACTACTTCCTGAAGAACTGCAACTCATCGCCACCAACTAATTTTGATAAATTTCTGAAGGAAATCATATCGGATTTGAATTGAGTGAAAGTAGGAAGGATATTTTTGTTTTCACATTGATTTATTTGTTTGTCATTTATTCCTAGAAAAAAACATACTAGGATTTGAACCATGATCATTTTCCACAATAACAAGAATCTTAACCAATCAAACTACAAAGATTAGTAGTATCATTTCAAATAAAAAACCTACATGAAGCTAAAATTAAAAAATCACAGAACTTTTCAACGGTTAACTAATGTCACTAAATCTTCGCTTGGTACTTATTGGTGTTTTGATACTTCAATTTTCATATTTTCATATTTTGATTATACTTTGATTCTTAATTTAAATATCTATTTATCTTATAAATAGAGGATAACTTTAAAATCATAGACATAATATCATTGTTCAATATTACATATCGAATTTTTAGAAGCGATGTTGAATTCTTACATTAGTATTAGTTTATAGAACTATTATGAGACAATTATATTCACGGTTTCTTTGAACGTTTTAGCTTGGGTAACCGTTAAGTTTTAAACATCTTCCTAGTCCGACATGCATGATTGGATCCAACAATCATTAGACGAGGTTGAGTTTATTTCATCATTTTTATGTATTAAAATGAATTTGTAGATCAAGAACATGTCTACATATACACACTACACAATATATACTACAGGCATGACAAAATTATCGTTTCATTTCAAATTTCCTACATCAAGAGCAAAAGTATGGGATTTGAACTAATGTATTTTGTCATCACCATTATTTTTCTTTATTTTGTATAGAAAATAGACAAGTATTGGGATTTGAACTAATGTATCTTCAAACACAGACGAGAGTCATAACCATGATTGTCAATTCGAGTATGACTCTGCTGGTCAGAATCAATTCTACCTAAACCTGAGTATCTCAGCATGTGCCGAAAGCCCAGTTGGTTGTCTACTCGGACACGACCAAAGTCGAGTTTATCTATCTTAGCGTGAAATCTGACAAATTTAACCAACTGATTCGAGCACCGGGTCACTTCAAAATGGTGTTGTTTCAACAATTCGTATATGTAGCTACACTGTCATATCATCCTTTTAATTATCATAGAACCCTACAACATGAAACATCACACCTCTTGTTCGACTATCCCATCGTCTTTTCTTCTTACTTTAGATTTGGGGTTAATACCTTGTTATGACCTGAACTATGACCATGTAATCAACTTTGGCCAGTGGTTTGAGAAATTAACATCCTGGCCCGAACTATGCAGCATATAGACAAAATTGGCCTGGAGCGTGGTTTGACCGTTTGTTTGGACGGTCAACACCGTTGACCGTTAGTCAACTGTCCAGGTCACTGCCATGTCAGCATAAAAAAATTATAATTTCATTTTTCTTTTTATTTCATTTACAAAATTGAATAATTAAAAAAAAAAACTTTTGGCCCACCCATCCCCACCTTATCCTCTCACCTTCTTTCCTTTTCGATCAAACCCAAACAAACCCTATCTTCCATCTTCTTCCTCCTTCTTCCAGTTCAGTTCAGGGAGCTTTCTGCTTCGTATTTTTGCCGGAAGTGGAATCATACATATATTTGCCGCTCTGCCTTTTCAATCTGTGCCCCCTTCTGTAGCAAAGCTCCGTCTCTCGCTTTCTTCCGTCAATGGCATCTCTGCTAACGTCTCCATCTACTAAGCAGTACTTGGCATCCTCGTCCCTTTTCCAGCACTGCAATCAAAGCCGATGTGCCTACAAAACAACTAACCTCTCCTTCTCCTCTTCCTCTATTTCTCTGCCTCAGCCCCAGCAAGGTAAAATTTCATGGGTTTGCATCCGGGATTTGCTTTTGTATACTGTAAAATCAGAATGTCGGTTTCATCTCGGCGAACAAAAATTTCCAGGGTTTGCCAATAGTCCCACTCTTACTACCGTCGGGAGGTCCCGCCGCCACTCATCGTCGTTTCTGGAAGCACCGGAAGCTGTTAGGCATCTCGTCGGATCACTTAACCGAACTGAAGGCCTCTGTTTTGCTGTGGTGAGTTCTCGATTAGGTCTATCTACTGCATCATCGTAGATTAATCATCTGACTTTCTCGATTGATGCATTTGCGCAGTCTGATTATGGTGAATTTGCTGCAGAATGGAGAGAATGGAGGCGGCGGCTCGTCGGGGAAGAAGGAGGAAGAAGAAGAAAGATAGGGTTTGTTTGGGTTTGATCGAAAAGGAAAGAAGGTGAGGGGATAAGGTGGGGATGGGTGGGCCAAAAGTTTTTTTTTTTAATTATTCAATTTTGTAAATGAAATAAAAAGAAAAATGAAATTATAATTTTTTTATGCTGACATGGCAGTGACCTGGACAGTTGACTAACGGTCAACGGTGTTGACCGTCCAAACAAACGGTCAAACCACGCTCCAGGCCAATTTTGTCTATATGCTGCATAGTTCGGGCCAGGATGTTAATTTCTCAAACCACTGGCCAAAGTTGATTACATGGTCATAGTTCAGGCCATAACAAGGTATTAACCCTTAGATTTGCAAGTCTACAATACAATATCCAACCATCTCAAAAGCCATCATAATCCCGCAATATTAAATTTCATATTTCTCCAGTTGTACCGTCATAGAGCCAGTCGGCCTCATCACATAGAAATAAGAAGCAAAAATTATTAGAGAAATATGCATTTGAGTTGAAACTTTGTGTGGCTAACAGAGCCAAATTCCTCATTTTAATTATTTTTAATACTTGATTAAATTTCTATATATCTTATAAATAGAGGATATTTTTTAAATCGCGGCACAAATATCATTGGTTCAAATCATCCATATCGAATTGCAGTATTGAATATGTAAAGTGATATATAATTCTTAAATTAGTATGAATTTTTAGACCTACTATGATACAATCGTATTCATATCTTTTTTTCTCTCGTTGAATCGGATGCTTTATTCTCAGAAAAAGGCCAATACAACGAAAGGGGGGAAGCAGTCCCCTGTAAAGTCTCACTACTATCTGCTATATATCACCCTACTTACAGAAACTGTGGAAACAAAGAAAAACCTATAAGTAATGTAGTTTAGTAAGCGCATCCCTCAATCCTCTATTCCCACAAGCCAGAAAATGTAAGTCATCTCGAAGCTGAATAGCAACCTGCTCTGGAGGTTTCCTGTCAGATCCATGAATCACCCTGCACCTCTCTTTCCAAATGAAAGCAAAAATCACACACCATACCAAAGCATGCCAGCTACCTGTGTGTGGATCCCGGTGAATCAGTGCACTCAAATCATGTATCATTGCACCCCAACTCTGATATTGAAGATACCTGAATTGCAGAAATGCAGCAAGCCTGCGAGTGAAACTGTAGCTAAGAAACAAATGGTCACGGCTCTCAACTCCATCATCACACAAAGGACAAGATGCATTGGAAATTTTACCCCATTGCAGTAGCTTATCCCTAGTTATAATAGCATTTCTCATTATCAGCCAGGCTAGCAGACTATACCTCGGAGGGCAATAAGCACTCTAGACAAGTTTATACCACGGGACAGCAGGCAACCTTCTTCTAAGTGACTCCCAAACCCTTCGAACAGAATAGACATGCATCTCCTGAGAATCCCAGCAGACAATAGTCCCTTGCTGAGTTATCCAGGGTAAAATAACATCTCTAAGCTTCAGTAGCCTTCTCCAAGCCCAAGAGCTACTATACTGCACCTTCATACTCCACAAATCTCCCTGTTTACATTTGTATTCATATCTTTGTGTAAACTATATGAGACTAGTTCTTTGAACATTTTAGTTCGGCTAAACGTTAAATTTTAAACATCTTACTGTTCATACATGATTGGATCCAACAATCATTATGAGTTAAATAAGTTGGTTCATTTCACCTTTTTTTAATGTGCTAATGTATTTGTAGGGAAAAGACATGTCTTTATAGTTCCTACAACGAGACCGAAAGTAGGAATGACATTTTTGCTTCACAATTATTTAACAGAAACTAAAAATTTCCAAAATCCAGATATTGTAGCTCAAACTAAAAAACAAAGTTCACAAAAAAAAAATTCTCGTTGTATCAGTTGCTTTTATTGCCAAATAAGAAACAGGCACAACGAAGCGGAAGCACAAAGGATCCCGAGAGATCAACTCACAAGCACCCACTCTCCTATATGAGACTACTTACAGAATAACCAAAAAAAAAACTATAAGTATCCAAGCTTTGTAAATGCATCACGACTCCTCTATTCCCACACGCTATAAACATCAAGTCCGCCTTTATCAATTCAGCAACCATCACAGGATCTCTACAGGGGGAGCCATGAATCACCTTGCACCTTTCCTTCCAAATAAAAGAAACTGTTAGGCACCATACTAGAGCATGCCATTGTCCTGTTTGCGAGTTCCTGTGTACTGCAAGACTAACAGCCTGCACCATTGCATCCTAGTCATGATGTCTCAATAAACGGAATTGCAGGAGTGAGGCAAGTCTGAGGGAGTAGTTGTAGTCTCCCTGCATAAGTAAGCTTCTTTGCTCTCCATGACTTAATTTTCTTGGTAATCTTATCAACCAGAACCTTTGATGATAATTTGCTAGTCATCAAAGGCAGCCCCAAGTATCTTACTGGTAGCTCACCTTCCCTAAATCTAGAGAGAAGCAAGGCATTGCTTTTGTATTTAATGGACTCTCCACCAAAATAGACTTCACATGTTGCATAGTTGCTTTTAAGCTCGGACAAGTGGTAAAACTGTTGCAGAACTTCTTTGACCCGAAGGATCGCTTGAGCCATTGGCGAATCCAGGGGGTGGCCACCCCAGGCCACGACTCAGCCCTCCTCTGGATCCGGAGCTAGTATAGTTCTTATGAGTTTATCAATTTTAGTCATTCGGCCAAGTATTATTTTATAATAAAATTATGTGTAATTGAGAAAATGCGTTAGATAAAAATAAACAAATCACAACTCTAAATTTAGCCTAGAAATTCTAACTCCAATGATTCTCTTCTAAAGAAAAACAAACAATGTAACCTAGAGCAGCTGGTGTAAATATGGATGAACACACAATACAAATTGATTAGTCGATTGATTTGTCTAGTGTTGACATTGCTCGTTTCAACTACTACTATGGAGAAAACCTTTTCAACAGTGGAACGGTTGAAATATGATTTGCGCAACAAAATGAGCGAAGAATTTCTCGTTGATTGGTTAACTATTTTATTTGAAGGAGATCAGTATGTTGTTGGTATGGATGTAGAGACCATTATTGATGACTTTGTTATATTCAAAGATCCACGTATACAATTGATATTGTAAAAAAAAACTATGACTTTTTACATTATCTAATTTTCTAATGAAATGCTGCCCAGTGCACTACTATGTCCTGGATCCGCCACTGGCTTGAGTCGATCCAGTAGTAAAAACAAGTATATCATCTGCAAAGCAAATGTGATTTAATGCAATCCTCTAATACTGAGGATGGAAAGGAATTAATCTTGATTGACTTGCAGACATCAGCATGGTAGACAGACCTTCCATGGCAATGGTAACACAAATTTTATTTCATATATCACTTATTTGACAGATTTTTCTGTCAAAACAAAGTAAAATGAAACAAGTTATAGCCAAATAACCAGCTTTGGCTTAAAGATGATGACCCACTTCTTCGTGGCAGAAAGGAATACATGCGGTGTCGTCAGAGATCTGGAGATCAAAGATAAAAAGGATACACCACGAGATCGTGAATGGGGACTGTGAAATAGATCATCAAATCATCATCAAATCACGATCTTGGGGCTAAATAAAAGGATAGGAGGTTAGTTAGATGGATGATGATATAAAATTTTCCAATTTGGTACATCTACAGCTCCAGCGTCGGCTTAGGAAAAAAAGAATCGAAGGGTATTAACAACTAATTGAATGCATGGGGGTGGATAAACGATGGATTCATTTCTCTTTTCTTTCAGCACAATAAAACTAAAAACTTCAATAAAAAACTAAAAACAATATTGTAAAATTTGGTGGGTTCCTATTCAACTTTTGAAGTATGCTCCTTTTTCGGGCCTAATCAGATTATTTAAAGCTATTATCCTACTAAAATAATATTATTTTTATTTTTCCATTGCATTGTTGTAATATTTTGACCAAAACATGTTAGTAAGTTAAATGATATATTAATTAAAATAATATAATATTCATGCCCTTTCGGTGCACTCAAATTATAATTCTCGAAGAATATACGCTCTTACGCTCCCTTTCTAGCTTCTGCTCCGCAAATTGGTAAGCTAAATCCGTCGAGTCGATTGTGTAGACAAAGAGACTACTGAGAGAAATCGCCTTCCATCACATATTGCCTTCCCTCTTAAACACCCCCACGCTCAATTCCCACTTGGCCGTTCTTCATTAATTCCACATTTGACACACACTACCGATATAGGAGTGCGACCTTCATCGCGTGATGAATACATATTGTTGGAGTGGTTTTAAGGAGCTCGAAAGAGGATAGAGGAAAGTAGCATATAGAGAAACAAATGTAGATAGTCCGACGAGGAAGAATATTATCCATATGTAGATGAGATTTTATATAATTTATAAATATATGAGCAATATAATGACTTTTTCATATATCCGGGCAAAAGTGAACTAAAATGATTGGACCAGTAACCCGCAATCCACTTAACCGACCGGGCCAAACTGAGTTGACAATCTTTGATACTTTGAAATCTAGATATTCTAAAATTTTTGGATTCCAACTTTTATGATTGAGTAAAATTGTGGACTTTCATATATTGGTTGAAATTCAAAAGTCGGTCTTGAAAGTTCTTTCGTGACAGAAAAGTTTTTGCGTTTAATTGTTGTTGCGTAGAAGGAAGAGAAAGCAGAACAGATTGAGGATGGTATTGTGGCTATTAATTATTGGGAGTTTCAAATGGAGAAGATAAGTCATAAATAGGGGCTAAATTTAATTTGATAATACGTATATACTAAATATTACGAGGACATGTTTTATGTGAAAATAATAGAGAGATAGATTT